CATTGGTTTGAGAAAAGCCTCAGCTTGGTCGTCCTCCCGTAAACCAAGGGTTTCTTCTTCACGGCAGTACCCTGCTACTTCGGGCACAGTCACAAAGAGCATTCTCTCTTTATTCCAAGTGCATCATACAAAAGAGAGGTTTCGACTCGGTGTTGTCTTCTCTTCTTCCCCCAATTCATTCACAGCTGAAGGTAAAACATAAGCGTTGGCTTATACAATCCTTGTTACAGCTGGATTTGCAGCTGTCACAGACTTTCTCATCTGAAGCCATGACTGGCGGAAATTCAGTGGAAGGTTGGTGCCCTACAGATTCAAGGGTTTGTTGTACCGAGCAGACTCGGTGGCTTGCAAGAGTTGTGAAAGTTGCTTCAGTGCCTCTCTACATCTTCAGGTAATGATCGTAACAGTAAGTTACAGCTTGGAAAGGAGGCTTGAATCAAAGCTGCAGAGATGTAGTTCTGAATAACATGAAAAACAGAACAGCCAAGGCATCCAGCGTGACCAAGGCTGGCAGTGTACTCCAAACCGTTGTTCCTTAGTGGAGAAAAAGGCAAGCACCACTAGAAGGGCAAGTCAGTGTCCCAACAGAGTCCTCGCAGAACTCCCTACATTCTACTTTTGTCTTGGCCGAGTTTGCTTAAGCTGTGAAGTTTAGTGATTAAGTGATCAGGAGCCCTTGCAGGGCACCAGATATGCTTTAATGACATCTATGAAAGGGGGGGATCTAAGCCACCAAAATCAGCACAAAGTTCATCCCAGAGTGCGTCTTTATCATCCATGGAGACTATTCTTTTCTAAGGAGAAATAATGCATTTAACTATTTATTTGGGCTTCCACAACCTTAAGTCTTTTCCACGTTCTCCAAAACCATCCTCAGATAAGGACTGTTAAAACCTACAGCTCTCACCATAGTCCCTGTTCCTGCTGCAGCTCCTCGCCAACCCACACACTTCTGTTCTTTTCTACAGCACCCCAGGGACCCTCATTACTTCTAGGATCTCTGCTGACAGTGAGCCACTTCCTTCACAGCACCACCAGCCCTACCTCATCCCTCCTCCACAACCTCAAAATTCCTCAGACAGGGGAAAACTCTTCCCCTCAAAGAGACTCAAACCATTTCATAAACACCAGCATCACATTAGACCCTCAGTCTCAGGTCACTAGTGAAGGAACCAGGAAACCTCCGCGATTACGCATACTGAAGACCAAGCACTGAAAACCAGGATCAAAATCCAGTCTTCCATCTCATTTATCCTCGCACTTCTACATCCTAACCACCAGGGAGAAGCCCTGCACTACCAATTCATTGTGACACTAAGTACGAAAGCAGCAAGATGAAATTAGAGGATTAAATTATTCACTATCAGAACACATTCAGTTTGGCAACCAGTTAACAGCCAGAATGAACAAGCCTCAATAATCCAGAGAATGAAATGTATTAATTACGGCAGTAATATAATTAAGAATTCAAGTTATTTAAATGCTTTGAGATTGTGTTTTAGTACTCCACAACAGCTCATCACAGCAGCTGACACAAATGTATTGAGAAAGACAGCAATCTAAAATTCTAATGCAAATCCTTCCATTTATTGTTCACTTTCACTAATAGATGATGATAAAGGACTCATCTAGTTGTTCATTTTCAGCTTTGAAAACAAATTGCTGTGCCTTAGAAACTCGACTCTTTCCAACTGGCTGAAGCATAGAAAATATTCTTTCTTCGAGCCAGTCACCCTACACCTTGTCATGAATGTTGCAGTAACAGCCACAACAGAACCAGTATCACACAGACAAAACAAAGGCACTTACGTTGCATCGTGCAACTCAGAAGTAACGAAGTGAAGGTACTAGAAAGGAATACCCTTGCAAGAAAATCATCTTGCTTTGACTATCACCCTTTGCAGAGATGCTGTTATCTGTTTTGATATTGTAGTTATCTTGACGCAGCAATTATTTTAGTACCACTTCAGGGTTGTTTTTTTTTCAAAAACACCTCCATATGCCAGTACAATAATCACTCTCACGTTACTACTTGGAGTATTCCCTTACACTCTTGGCAGTTTAGCGTATTCCATGTCAGAAGAGCCTCGCACCCCCAGAACCTCTTTTGAATCAGCATCTCAGGCCACTTAATATTGACCCTCACAAGAGGCCTATGAAACGGGCATTATCCCCTCTGCGCACGTAAACTAGAGCACCGCTTTCCCACCAAACCCACCTGGGCTTTCAATGTTATTATCCCACCCCGTAGGTAAAAATGCCTTACTTTGGGTGTCTGAAACATACAATTTTGGTTACATTTTTTTAAATAGCTGGTAGTGTTCATTCCACAACTTAAACTGAGGGGCTAAAGACCCAGCACATGCTAAATGCAAAGTGTTATCATCCACAAGAACCTGCTAGAGTATTGTATTCAATTACAATTCGCTCCATCTTTTTTCATTTAAAAACCATGAGAGAAATATTAACTAAATTGCACGGCAATCACTTTGGAACACACTATTTGAAAATTGTGGGTAATAATATAATTCGCCCAGACTCTTAAAAGATCCCAGCTTTTTAATAAACGCAAAAAACTTACCTCCCAAGTGGTGTGACAAGAACTCTTTGCCCAGTTGTCCTTTATCCTCCGACACGTGGCATTCTAGTAGTCCATCAGGGCTACCAGGGTACACATGACAACTGTCACACATCAAGCCAGGCCAAACAGACGAACTCCAAATAATTTGTCTCATATACCCCTATACTTCACACTACTGCTGGATCATCACCCCTAGCAGTAGCTCGCTTAGCGAAGATGAAGCCAGAGCAAAACCCCTTAGGTCCCAGCAAACAGGAATCAACCAGTAAACTCTCCAGAGGTAGAGGAGAAGTACCAACCAGCAACAAGTTCTGTCATCAGGAGAGTATTTGCAAGACCGTGCAAGAAGACTTCTAAAAAACCCATTTTTAAAAAAAACCAAACAAACAACATACAGGTTAGTATTTCTACACTGCTGCAGACACAAATAACGTGATGTGTCACTCCACTTAACTGGCAAAACTAATAGAAAATTAAATGTTTGAGGTTCTTAAGGAACTAAGTCACTTGCGGTCTTTGAGAATTTCTTGATTTTTTATGTAATTAAGAAATACATCTCAGAAAAGACCGTTTTACCAGTTTCTGATTGCAGTCACCATCTTACATAAACATCATGCAGCACTGCTAGAAGAATTATTTCAGAAATCGGAGAGACAAACTCAGGTGAACAGTAGAAAGATGTCAGAAATGGAGAAATGTAGGTAACCAGTGCCTCTCCATTTTTGTAACCGCCTGCTGCTAAATAGCAAATTTCAATTTATGCTCAATCAAGGTGTATTTCCAAAGCTGCCGCATCAATTCAAAGGTACAAGTCTACCTTTTTAATTTTTACACAGGTATTTTGGTAACCTAATAAAAATTCATGTTAAATGGTCTCTTTTTTTTTTTCTTTTTCTTAATGGAACATTAGAAGAGTTCATGACAGATGAAGCACCACTCTACTAATTCAGGAAATTAAGACGCTGTTTTTGAAAGCATGCCGTTCAGTACCTGTCACTTGACTTACACTGCCTCAGGAAAGGAAAAAGTAATAGGCAAGATACAACAGGGAGTTTCAAGCTTCACAATCTTAAGTTGGGCTGAAAAAAACCCCAACGTATTTAAGGAGACCTCACCCTTTCTTCAGAAACTAAAGCAAGTCTAAACATCTTTTTTTTTTTTTTCCAAACAAGATAAAGATAGCTTTCTCCCGGGAAAAGTCTTGGCATGACAAATTTGAACGGCTTTTACGCAGTTATCAGAAGTCTAGCCAGGTTCAAAGAGAGATTCTAAAGCCAAAAGGGAACATATTCCACATCTAAGCTATGAAAGGTGTTGAAATATATCCTCCCCACCACCTTTTAGTTCAAAAAAGTTTTTTCTAGGCCTTTGAGGGTTTGGATATGAAAACATCTGTTCACGAGAGGGAATTCCAACCTTGCAATGTACCACAGAAGTCTACAAGATACATAGAATAAGCACTAATCTGTTCAGCGTGGAATTCTCTAGAATTAAAACACTGGCATACAGTACAGTACATTAGCTACATAGTCAAAAGCAACTGCAAAACCAGACACTATTTTTCTCATAGCTATATTAGATGCACTTAATGTAGTATCAAATGTGTTAAAATCATGACAGAAGGCAAATATAGATCGTTGTCCACTGAGGCACAGACTCGTCATTCTGCCACAAAGCTGAAAGAACTTCCAGACCCAGCAGGCACAGGCCTAGCGTGGAATCATCGCCTCTCAAATGAACTGTTAAAAAAACTGCCACCAAGAAGTGAGCTCTGCTAAAAAATTAATACCTAAAAAAGCATTAACGTACTGCAAGCACAACAAAATAGCAGAACACTCTCCTAGGAGGTCAGAGAATGCTTTGGGGCGCTGGAACAGGCAGGTATATAATCCTAAATACACCCACAGAGCAGAACTCAATTTTTTATTTTTGCTTTTACATTTCCAAGCATCTCCCATTTGATACCAGGGTAAACTGAACGGTTAACGAAACCATTTGCTCTTTTTAACGTAACGTTTACATCACAAAGCATTCAAATGCAGTTTTAAATGATCCACTCTAACAACAATATTGATGTTTCTATGAGACTGACAAAAAAAGCTCAATCAAGAGGCATTAGCAAGTAGTCCCATACTTTGCCATTTGCCTGATCAAACATTTTTGGCTTCACAGAACATACACATACACACAAAAAGTAATAATCAAAAGACAACAAACCTGACTTCTATTTCCAGTTCAATTACTGACTGACTGAGAGGTCTCAAGGAAGCCTTTCATTTCCAACAGTCTTCTGACTGTAAGAAGGGGATTATGCTTACTTACCACATAGAAAGCTGAGAACTGACAAGTGTAAAGTGCTGCAGAGAAAGAAATACAAGTGCTGAGTACTATTACTCCAGAGAAAAATAAAGAAAACCAGTTATTTTAAACAAGAAGTTTATTTAAACAACAAGACGCTTTACTTGAAGGGAAAACTATCTAGGATCTTTTTTTTCCTTTTTTTTTTTTTTAAAGAGTAATTTACCCCTACTTAGACAGAGATTGCTCTACATGTAACAGCTACGTACAAAAAAGTTATAAAATTGTCCTTGGTTTTACAATGATAAAAGAAAAACATTGAAATTATCCAATCAAACAAGGTATGCAAGGTCTTTGTTTTTAAACAGTGAGAGCAAAATAACTTACTGGAATATAAAGATAAAAGTAGAAGGAGCATGCCACTAATGGAGAAAGGGGTATTTTCACAGAACCAGTTTGTTTTCCCACCCCATCTCCATTAAATGTTGATCAAAACATACGATTGGCCATTTAGTTAAAAAAAATATGCATTATGTCTGTGCACATACACCAGTTACTTTATGTACAATAGAAGGAATAGGAAAAAAAAAATCAGAGAGAGAAGAGAGGAAACTATACTGCAGTAGTCAGGATGTGGCTGAACCAAGTCTCATTTTTCTAATTGTGGATGTGTTGCCTGTGGGAGCACAGTTCTGGAGAGGAAAGTAGCCGGTTCTTTTTTTGTGTGTTTGTCTTTTTTTTAGTAAACTCCTCCTGTTTGCTGCTGGAACACATCAATTGTATCTTCATCCTCCATTTCCAACTATAGCAGAAAAGAGAAAAAAGGCTTTCAACTCTTCTCAGACGTCTACTATAGGTTGGGTTGTTCTTCATGTTTACTTTTTACGCAATTTAACCAGACGAGACCCACTCCCCTCCATCCTCATCGCTTTGTGTATTTAACCTACCTTAATGTACTTCAAAAGAAAAGAAATTACACCAAAACCAAAAATTGCCAGTTGATAGCTGTTGTCCTAGAATGAATTCTACTAAGTAACTTCAGGTTGCCTTTTATGACTCCTCTGGAAAGGCCAGCATTCATAATATCTTAATTCTGTTGCCTACTTTGCCGTTGCATCTTCCTTCTCCTATTTACTTCCTCAGTTTACCTTAGAACACTGCCACAATTCCACTTGGCAGCTGTTGTTCAAACGCACAAAAGGCTTCAGCTACAGCACTAAAGCAAGCAGACTATAATTAAGGCCCCTAGCCCAACCACGCACTAAAATGCAGCATCAGCAAGCACAAAAAAAATCAAAACCACTTCACATGATCAACAATGTAACAAACTGCCAGTGAGGAACAGCAAAAGCTGGTTAATCCAATTCTATTTTTTCACAGTAATTTCTACAGTTGACACTCCTGGGATGTTAATGTTGCCTACTGACAAAACCTGCATCATGACTGAAGAAGTTATATTTCTAAACAGCCTTAATTTCTCCTCCAGGAAAACAAACTCATCTATGGCATTTACCACAGCTATAAATAGACTGATCCTTAGCTTCAGTCTAACACGGATGGAGAGAAAAGCACCCTGTTGTCTCAATTATCTGTATTCCAGGTTAAAAATTTGCATAGATTGTGGTCTTAAGAGGCACATTATGTGGAGCAACTGCTTAGAAAATACAGCTCTACTACAAACCTTCTAAAACCAAGAGTCCCTTATTTCGTAACAAGTGGTTCTGAAAGGCGCATAAAACTGTATCACTTGGAAAGGCTGATTAAACACAGCTACGGGCAGCAGTACAAATACTCAAGAGTCACAGAGAGCCTTTCTGTTCTTGGAACGGCCTTCGTTTGAAGCAGTTTATAAACAGACAACCCAAACTTCACCGTATTCATTAATTTTATGCTGCTGGAACAGAGCTTAAATGACCAACAACAGAAAATTACTTTTGTATTGCAAACATAACTTTGCAAACAGGATCTCTGATAACATCCTGGCAAGCTTTTATAAAAAAATAAAGCCACTGCTTCAGGAAAAACTCGGTTCTTAACTTAGAGATTCTTATCTCACAGCCATGACTCAATAAATTGACAGGTTTTTAAGACTCGCCATCTGTACACTGTACTTCATTTTCTTATTTTATTGCCAGTGATAGAGACTTACTGTTCAAAACACTAAAAAAAACCTTAGATTCCATTGCTGAAGACTAATTATACCAAAGTAATGATAAAAAAAACATCAAGTTCCATCACTACTATATACAATTACACCAGTATTTGAGAGGAAACAGAAGTATCACCTCCTGCAGCAAATTTCAAATACAGTTCTTTGGTCTTGCTTTTTACCTGTGCAGGTGTGTCTGTTTCATTAATTGGTTGCCCATCGAACCGGAATCTGATTTGCCTCATTGACAACCCCTGGACAAAGAGAAGGAACACAAAAGGGAAGTAAGTCTGGTGTAAAAGTGCTGCTTGCTAGTTTTCTCTTGAACTTGTTGCTGCAATTGGAGCACAATCATTAAAAACCACAATTCATAATGCCTGATATAATTTTCTTCCTCCCCTCATGCACTGACTTTAAAGCATTTTCACTACAAATCCTTGCAATCTGTTTTGTATTAAAAACTGCATCGTGTCCAATAACTGGGAGAAGCAACAGTGCCCCCACTGACTAAATTAAAATAAAGCAATTTCTAATACAAAAGTCTCACCCCAAAGGCCAAGATTTTTAGTGCTTTTTAATAATAATTTACTTAAAAAATAGATATATGACTTTGGGTAACAATGTCAAACAGTAATATTCCAAAATCCTTTTTAATCTTCCCCAAAAGCCAAGGTATTCTAACTTTTTTCTTTTTTTCCCAGAAATGCAACCACTATCTATTAGTCTGCAGCAGCAACGAGTTACAAGCAATGGTTACAATCTCTTCTAATAACATCAGCTTCAAATTCCCAAGTTAGTTCTCAAAGTTACTCTACAGCACCCTGCAAAGGAAGATGAATGAAGTTTGAGCGTACAACCAGAACCAAGAACCTTGGTGTCTACTTCTTCCCCAGTTCTATCTACTCTCCGCAGAGTATCTATAAATACAAGACGTCTAGTTTGAAGCAAATCCAGCGTATTTCATTGAGCTGCTTTGGCATCTCCGAAGCAGAAGCCTTCAATTAGCCATGTAAGAGCAGATGCAATACATAAAAGACAACGTAGTAATTATTTCTGAGAAGTTGATTTGTCAGGAAAAATATTTTAATAAAGAATACGAGTAAATTTCTTAGTAAGTCTTTATACTTCACGGCAAAATGCCTTCTCTAGTATGACTGAAGATTCTGCAGTGTTCACTCAACATCGTCTTAAGAAAACCATGTAGCTCAGTGTCATGGCAGCAACACGTTTTTGTACAGCAACATTCGGTTTGAGCTGTTTTCTCTGACATTGTGCTTCTTAAAATATACATTTCCTACTCCAAGTGGTTTTTTTGCAGGTTCCCAACAACTTTACAAGCTGAGTAAATGCTAGCCGCAAACATACTGAAAAACTGGACCCTGGTGAGCTCAGTATCCATAAAAATTTAAGTATATTCCATGGATGATTATTTTTAGAATAATCACAAGTAGTTGTCTTCTTCTAAATGTATAATTCAAGGTCTAGTTACTTCCATTTTAGGTCTGCTACAGGCAATACAGGATTTTCATTCTTTAAAGCTGCCAAATTCACTACTGTATGCAGCTTCCACCTTTCCAAAATTAAATCTAATCAAAGTCCACAGCTTAAGCATTTTAAGATAGGGTATGCCTACTTAGGAACATGAACTAAATCTAACTTTTAGACACACATAGAACAAAGGCTTTTCAGCAAAGTTTGAGAAGTAAGCATCTAAGAAAAGGGCAAGTTCATCACCACAGAAAAGAAATTCGCTTTGGCTATCTACTAGGTTAAAATCTGAATCACAAAAAGTGTCTCCCTTTCTAAATATTTTTTTCCTCCAATTGACACCTACTGCAGCAAAAAGTAAAGTGAAAAGGTTTTACCACTCTGCAAGTTTGTTCTTCTTTGTGGTGAAGTAGTTACCTCAATATTTCATACTGATTTCACTGTCACTGAATATTTGTGTTCAAAAAAAGAAGAAACTTCCCTAATTTCAAACACTTCTCTAGAGATAGAACCCTTTTAAAGGCAGACATTCATTAAAAAATCATGCACAGCAGAAACTAAATTTTCCTTATCAAAAGGTTCAGAAGGAAGTGTTAAACAGCACTGCAGGTGTTTTTACAACTGGCAGTAACTGCCCACAACCTAGTAGGTTGGCCACACTTGCTACTAGGCTAGCAAAACACATTTTTTCGTCCCTCTGAGGATTAATTGGGCTAGGCCACAAGGGAAAAAATAAATCTCATCGTTAAATGCGCAAGCTTCTTCCCAAGTTAGACATTAGACAACTTTAAACCCTGAAACACTCACTGATATTCTCTCAATCTCAACAGAATATTACTAAGTTAATAAATCAGAAGTCTATGACCAGACCATGAAGTTACTCGGTTATAAAAACACCTCTGATTATCACTCAGTTCTCTGTCCTAAGTTCATGCTGCAGGTTCCTAACCCACCCTTTCCATGCTGATATTTCTGAGCAGTAGAATAACAACTGCCTCTCAACAGCCTACACTTACAATGCAGATTTCACAAAGAGAACAACAGATCTTTATTTTACCCATTTCCTGTCACAACCCTGTCAGTCCACTCCATAACAGACCCCAAGAACAATACGCTTTCCACAACACAATTGGTTTCTGTTAAAGTCTTTATCATTCTGCATATTTACATAGCTTTAAAACTTTACTGTGTCTCCATCTATCTCTATGGAGATCACCTCTCCCCCAGACACCGGTTCTCCCGATGATCATACAAGAACCATACCTGTCGTTCACAATAGGCTTTCATTAGTTTACTAAGTGGTGTATGCCTCTTAATCTTAAACTGCACCACAGACCCATCTTGCCCTGCCACCTTCAGATTAATGTGGTCATTGTTTTCAGTCTTCACTCCTTCCTGTTGAGGAAAGAAAAGAAAAAAAAAAAACAACAAAACCCCAACACTTTAAAAGATACGAAACAAGAAGTTAACATTTTACCGAAGTGTAACAGGTCATTAAAAAAGGAGGAAATAAAGATATCAGGGCTGTTTACCAATTTGAAACTTTGAATTAGGAAATAAAGGTTGGTACTTTTTATTTGAAAATAATAAAAAGAGCCACAGGCCAAATAAAAGCCAAATCCTACTAGTATCAGTTGTCATTCTTGAGATTGGTTAATGTGCAAAGCAGCACTGAAAACCTCTTAATCCAGTTGGTTTACAACAAATTCAAAAAATAGAAAGTTATTTCTATAAAGAGCCCAGTAATATGCAACAGTACAGTTCCAAATCAAAGGAATGAAGTTATTTAAGCTCTAACTATGACCTCAACCACTAGCAAGTCTCCTTCTTGCTCCACCTCAAACTTTTCGTATCAGTTGAGGTACCTCTGAAGAAAACTTCCAAGATGTTTTAAAAGACTCTATTTAGAAAGGTGGCAAAAATCTTAAAGAGAACCAAGCTTTCTCCTTCGAAAAACGTTGAATCAAAACCCCCTCCTGAACAAGCAGTCCGATCCTCTCGCTCCCATCGGAAGCCACACTCAGAACCCGCCGAGAACCAACTTCCAGCTCCTGCGGTGATCCCGAGCATCTCAGCACAAGTGAAGAGAAGACTCGACGCTACCCCGTCCCGAGGCAGCGGCCGCTCCCGAGGTGCCCGGCGGCGTTTGCATCTTTGTTTTCTTTCTTCCTCTCGGGGGAGGAGCGCCAG